TTGTTTTAAAAAATCATTACTAATAGGAATAAATGATAAAATATATTTCACAGCTTTGAAATTTAGCAAGGATATTGTCAAAATCTCAAAGAATTACATAGATACCAATGTGTGACTCCAAGTTTTATATGTGACCTATGTAGGAAATAAAGTTTTACAACTAGACAAAACAGTGAAATCATCAGTTTCCTATCATATTAAGAAATTAAATTCTAATATAATCAAGTTACATTGATGGTGGATTTATTTAGCTCATAAGACAGTGATTTGTAGGTAGTCGAACTTGTTTTAAATCATTCACTCCTTTATATTATAAAAGCTTGTCAAATAAAAATATTCAGGTATCTTTAATATATAGAGGAGAGAAAAATCTGATTCCTTCTTTGGTCACAGTCAGTGGTAAGAGACCTACAGAGGAACTTAAAATTGTTAAATCTATGGGCACACAAATACTATGGTCATATTAAAGTCAATTAAACTGCTTAAGCTTGAACATATGATAAGTGTGGTATTTTGTTGTTCTAAACAAAACTCAAAGCTTGTATCAACACAAACATAGAAGATGAACCAATTATTTAGCTTTTAACAACTGGTACAGAAATGTTCCCTTTCACCTAACTAAAACAAGTACAATCTATCACTTCTTTTTCCTCAAGGAAGAGCAGTAGCTTACATTAGACTTATTTCTAAATATGACAGGTAATAAGTGAGAGCACATATCTTCTCACATTTACAAATGACTTATTAGAAAGTAAATAAAGATGCATAAACTGTGTATTATTTCTGCTCTGCCTAGTGCTTGTGTTTCAGTATTCCTTTACAGATTAAAATGTTGCTGATGGTTGTAGTAGAGCCAAATGCCATATACAGTCCTAGTGCTTATTATCCAGGAGCTTGAATGGATAACAGCTCTATGGTAATTATGCTAGATGCTCATTAGTGCTGAACAAGCACTAATCAAAAATTTAATCTACCATATCATTTGTCAATTTGATTAGTTGTTTGGGGTAATCGGCTTCAGAAATAAAATGCAACAGAAAATCCGATTCTGTTATATTCATGAAACAAGTCTCTTTTTTAACTCTTACCCAACTCCTTGGAAAGGAAGGAGTTATAAAATATCTTTCTGTTCAAAACTGGTATAAGAAAAGTAAATTGTACATATTTTATTGATGCATAGACATTTCCTTTGAGTATAAAACTTTGATTGTATCATTCTCTCAAGAGGAAATATAGACCTATGTGCATCATAAATTATCGCTTGGGAAACATGTGTAATCATTATTAACAGATCTTTGCATGATAACACAAAGTCATTGTAAATTTATTTCAACAAAATATCAGTCTTACTATTGTCAACTCTCACATAGTTTAATACAGACTATGAAAATAATCTTAGTTTGATTCCTTGATATCGCTGCTGAAAAATGTAATTCTTGATCAGGACACAGAATAATTCTCAAAGACTGTAATATGTTATATCATATTTATAATTAGAAAGCTGCAGGACTCCACTATATTATCTCTGGATGCTTAGATTTGTTTGTATTGTTTTATCCATCTAAGAGCAATGGAATTGTCATGTTCCATTTAATTATCTTTAGTGGAGCAATTCTGCCCAATTTGGACAGTTTATTCACTCCCTGGGAATCAGTCCTGATGTTTTCACTGGCAATTATATGTAAATGTACTTGTCTTTCAATCTTTCACTATTAGTCATTTGCTCACCAAAATGTAATATTTTTAATTACTTTTGGCAAAGTTGAGAGAAGTAGAGGAAATCATGTTTGGTATGGCTAGAAAGAAGTGGAAGAATGGAAAGGCAGTACATAAGGGAAATAGAAGTGATTATGAAGATAACTGAAATGGTCTGGGAAGAATTATGGGTTGATGACCAAGGATACTTTTTTAAAAAAAATGATATTTGAAAAACTTATATAGCTTACTATTTCAAATAGTAATCCTGGGTGACTCATAACAATCAATAAAGACAATAATAATAATAAAAAATAATCTCTCCCACTAGGTGCCAAACCAATCAACCTCTTAACCTTCTGATTCAACCCCTATCCTAACCCAATGTTTGAAGTAAGAGTCAGATGTTCACCACTATCCTTTTCTCAAGGGGAAAATATTCTAAAGGGTTGATGCAACTAGAGAGGAGGCATGCCTCCAAGGTCCCATTAGATGACAGCATTTAAGGAAAGGGATTTGGAAATATTCTTGTCTATTCTAGTGACACAGGCAAACTGTGAGACACTCAGAATTGTATGCATGGCTCCATTCGGAAAACCTTCCCAAAGGTTTTCAAGAGCAGTTCTAGTGGTGGGATTCAGCCAATTCACACCACTTTGGCAGCTAATTTTTTGTTGCCCAGAATGGACTTCCAGGAGCGGCACCCACACAGAGAACCAGTTGTTCACATATTTGAATCCCACAACTAATAGTTCCATGTAGAGTGCCTTACAGTAATCCAACTGAGAGATGACTAAGACATGAGCCACATGGGCCTTTCAAAGTTTTGAGATCAAACACACACAAAAATCAGTAGTACTGTTACCAGTCTTCAAACTCACAGTTATCTATTTAGCACATTTATATAGCTGCCATTTCATTAAATACAACTCTATGTGATTTACAACAACAGTTATACTGTATACGTCTCATGGAAAGAGGTTAGAAATTAGCTTTAAAGGACACTATAATAGATCTCCAATAATACTGAGACAAAACCTCCCATACTGACTTCTGTCTTATACCACACAGTGGGATAATCACTTGATCCAGGAAGTTTAACAACTTTTATTGTTTTAATATTATCTTTTTTTTAAGATAAGGGGGAACCAAATAGTTTGATTGTCCATGTGTAATCTTACAAAGATCTATTTTAAATGAAAACTACTTAATTTCTTTCTTGGTTGCTTTATAATTCCTTGCTTTATAATAATAGATTATTATACAATAAAAATATATATAAAAAGTTATTGTTTTTATTGACTCAAAATTATTCTAAAGCTTACTCTGGGTATCTTTAACAATGGAGATACAATACTGTATTGACATAAATTTCACCTTGCTTTTGATTACATTTGTTTTATACAATTTTATAAATATTCTCTTACAGTTATTATGGTTTTATTTAGCACTCATAAAATCTTTATGTAATTCTGTTATAGATTATCTTTCATAAGTGCTCAAAACCTCTATTTTTTCCTGAAATTTTCTTATTCTTGTTTCTATTAAACACCTTCAATTTTAAAACCCCTTAGATTATTTGCTTTATAATGGGTCTAATCTTTTTTAGTTGTGGAGTTCTTGGTGCTGATTGAATTTGGTTGTTTTCTTGCAGATATTTCATTCCCCAACTAAGTAATATCTTCAGTGCATTTCCTTAGCTATTTGGAGATCAGCTGCAATTGCTAGTAGTACTATCTGGTAAAATAAAGATATATGTATTGACAAGAGAATACATATAAAGAATAATTAATATACTAAGCTTCCTTAATATATTATGAACTGAATTCTAAACACTGTGAAACACTCTAGGTCTCACATATGGTTTTTTTGCCCTCTTACTTGAAAGCCTTATAACTGGCAGTACTAAAGGTGAACTTGTAATCTCAGTAATCTCTTATACATGAGTTATAAATAAGAATTATTAATGAAAAATAATTGGCGGTGGCTTGTAACATCAAATAATCTATGCGAGGTGGATGGCTCTGTTTTCAGTAATCAACCATATGTGATTGGATTAAAGCAGGGACTTTTCTGTTTTGATGCCCATTTTCTGATATTTTCACACTTGTTTATAGTGATTGCACAAAAACAAATAAAGGAAACATGATATTCAAAGAATATCTCACAACTACAAGGAAATGTATTAAATAAATGTGATTGGAATGGAAATATCTTGTTTTGTTAATAAGGATATCTTAATTAAATAATCTGATATTTAACGCAAAACAATTGTTCAATTGATGGTTTGCCTTAAACTTTTTCCTTTATTGTTTACCTAAACATGAAAAGTCTATGCATAATTGTTCTCTTACATTACATTCTCCCAACATACTGTTGAATTGTACTTTCAAACAGACTGTCCTAGTCAAGTGCAGTCTCCCTCTAAATATTATATCTTGGATACTGGAACAAATCTTTCATGCTTCTGATTCTTTTGGTCACTGTTGGAAAATAATTGATGTTCCAGGACTACAAACTAAACATTTGTTGGCAATGCAAATTATATGAGGATAGACTTCTAATTGGAATCACAATAGAGTGCCTTTTAGCTTTTACAGAAGGATAACTATCTGATTTGCATCTTAATTATAGTGTTTCTATTCAGATATTAGCCTACTCCACTTGACCTCTTTGATTTGTTATTACAGAAGTCAGTATACATAAGAACATAAAAAGAGTGTTGTTTATTCAGTAAAAGATCTTTATCCAGAATACTATCCATAGTGGTTAACCAGATGCCTTTGAGAAGTCCACTAGCAAATGATTAGTGCAATGCAGCCCTCCTACTTGTGTTCCTTAGCAACTCATATTCAAAAGATACAGACCCCAATAAAGGAAGGCAAATAATTTGCTTAGGTAGGGTGGGGATTGGGAAGATTCCAAAATTACATCTCCTTTAGTCATAGATTTATTATATAGTGAGTGTAGAAACAGAATATATACTGATTCTGTTTTCTTTCTTTACAATTCACTTTTGTTATTGGTAGTATATTGTATTTACATTACATGCATTACAGTCACCCAAATGAATAGTACATTTTAATCAAAAGTTAGTCATTGTGTGTTGTGTTTGAGATATTCTGAGCTTTTTGTTTGCATGTATCTGTATGTAGTTATTGTTATTTACAAGAGAAATGCCTTTCTAAATTTGCTTCAGTTGTTCATATGATGCTTTCTTTTAACAGATTATGGCTGGTTCCATAAATAGCACTGTCTTAATATTGCAACTGATACCATCTGTGTTTGTTTTCCTTTCTTTATAGTACCCTCAATAACAACAACATCTCACGCATCCCTCTCACCAGCTTCAACCATATGCCAAAGATCAGAACCTTGTAAGTACTCTATCATGAATCACTCAGGACTTCGACTGACGTATATGAGCACTGCAAATCTTTGTGTCTTGATTCATTGATGAAAACAAAGGCAATGTAATAACTGCTTCAAAGAAAAGTGCTGTTCTTTTGTTACTCTTTTATTTTAGTATAGACTATATGGAGAAGCCTAACTAGAGGTGGGAGAGATTAGTGGAAGAGAACTGGATCTACCATTGTAGGTAGATGTTACTCAACATTTTTGTTTTTCCAGAGAGACCAAAATTCATGTCAAAATGTGGAGGACTATAGAATATAGAGACATGTGCTGCTTTGTACAAGGCCAGTGTTGTCAACAGTTGGTGAACTGTTCCTTGAAGGAAGCCATATGGAAAAATATTAGGTGATTGTAAAAAGTGCAGAAGGAGGAATGTCACTTTTCCTCCTTTAAGTCTTCCACCACAGTTCTAGAAAACTTTGGCTTCAAAAGTTTGCACAACCATCAAATCACAGCAAAAAAAATATAGGAAAGACTAGCTTTTTGCTAAAATCTAATGGTTGCATAGATCTTTGCAGACCGCATATGATATGGAGACTCTTAAACTTTCAGAGACGAGTTTCAGGTAGTTCCCACTCGTCTTGCTGGAAGAAGTATTCCCTGGGTGGAACTCTGCTCAAAACATTAACCTTTCAGTAAAGTTAGGATTACCAACCACAGAATTTGATATTGCGTTAATTTCAGCTGCCTTTACAATCTTTATATATAGCTAGCTATAGCTATAATATGAAAATCACTGGAAGATCTTGGGCCAGTCCTGCTGTAAATATAAAATCAACTGGATCATCTTGGGCCAGTCCCTCCCTCACAGCCTAGGAAGGAGGTAATGACAAACAACTTCTAAAATCTTAAAGAGGGAGAAGTCCTGGCAATTCCCAGGAGTCAACACTGACTTGAAGATGCTAGAAAAACAGTTAAAAAACAAATTAGAAATAACTGTAATGTAAATATTATTGCAATATTGATGATGGAGTATGAGGACTCCATGGTATGGTAAGAATATAAATATAAATCAATACTTAAATCTGTATTTTTAAATTCTGTTGTTTGTTTATGTTATGTCATTGGCTATGTCTACAGTTCACAATAATACTCAGTTTATTTGAAGTGTACCGAATTGGGGTTGCTTTATCAATAGCATTAAGTACAAATCAAAGAAACCACATTATGGCTTAATGTGATTGTCTGTTGAATTCATCCTAACCAAAGAAATGCTGACCTATTGCCATTCAAAAATGCTAAATCTTTCTTAACCTCTCATGCACCAGATGTACAACTTCCATATATCCTTTTTAGCTATATAGAGTGAATTTTACAACTTAACCAACATAAATGTGAATACACTGCTGAGAATAATTAGGTCTTCACAAACTACTTGCAGCAGTGCTTTTTGAAACAACAAGCATCTCTGAACCTTTTGTTCTAAGTATCTTCTCCTTCAAAGATACGGCATAGCTGCTTTGAAGGTTCCCAACATTGTTTGAACATATGTACAGTAAAAGAAGCCAAGAGTGCCTCAAGAGGAAAGCTATTTTCTTATCCCCTTGAATACATTCATGATTCATATTTGAATGCCTTTCATTTTTACTGCTTATAAATTATATTTGGAATTAAATATTGGTGCCATTTAATTTTAACAGTGTTGAGATCTCCTCTGTGGTTCAGTCACATATTAAGAGCAACCATAATTTTAGACTATTTCTTCTGAATACATTTAACAATGAATTCTTCTATTACAGATTTGTGAAGCTTGAAGTTAAATAGTATCTGTCAGAATGCATGTCAGTCCACTAAGATCAATAAGGGGCTGCTTTTTGCATCCTATCTCTTAAGTGCAAAAAATGCAAGAATATCTTTACATTTTATTTCTAATGGACTTTCCAGTTTAGAGTATTACAGCTTGTGCAGGTGTAATCTGCTTGTAGATATCATAGCATTAGTAATATATATGAGATATCATTGGCTGTTATTATCCACAATAGTCTGTGACTTTAATTATGGTTTTAGACTTACAGTTACATGAATTAATTAATGCTATGCAGAAACATTTTTTCTGGTTTTTGTTTATCCATCATTCAATGTTTTCATTTCCCCCCCCAAGAGGCGTAAAAGTCTAATTTGGTGAAATTCACATAGATGAATGTGTGTGTGAGAGAGAGAAGAGTGAGAGGGATAGAGGGAGAGAGAGAGAGAGACAGAGACAGAGACAGAGACAGAAACAGAGGGACATCCTATATTGCATTATCCAATGAGCCAATGATCTTCAGGGCCCATGGATGCCCCTATTTGAATTCAATCTTATAGGAAAGCTGCTAGAGAGAACTGTTCTTACTGAGTGTTGTCACATGGAGAGACAGAGATAAGAGCACTGTTTACCCTACCTTTCTATAGAAATAAATTAAGTTCTAAAAAAACCCTCCACTCTACATGTCAACACAGATAAAGTTTGAGATAGGAAAAACAAAATTATCTTTTTCCAAAAGAGAAAAGTTTTAGGAAATTGGAGTATAGATTTTGGCATCATATGAGTTTTTATTAATTAAAAGGTGTTTATATTTTTTGTGAATTTTCATGGAAATATCCTAAGCTTGTATCTTGACTATTTCAAATCGATCCGTAAATGTGATAAGCTGATAAGGGCTTCTGCCATTTTCCTTTTAGTTTAATTTAAAAGATGGTCTTGTATGTCGTTCCCTGGAGACTTATATTGACTAATTCCCTTTTACTGTAATTAAAGTGGAAGACAGGGAAAGAAATCATAAATGGGATTTCAGAGAGAGTTTTTATATTGAATTTTAACAATTATGGTACGTTTTATGAAACTTGAATGCTGACACAAAATGATATTCTAGAAATTTAATTTAGGCTGTAACTAAATGTACACCTTTAGAAATTACAAAGTATATAGTATTCATTCATCTTTTGTATGCTATAAATACCAGTTACATTCATTTTAAAGGGGCCCTTTCAATACATGTATGCTATGAAATAATTTATGAAGCTTCTTAGCAGTCTTGCTCTTAATGAAAATTGTAAGACCGGAATGATAATAAAAAGGTTACATTTCTCATTTTATGTTTCATCTATTTTGTTGCAGTCTCCACTGTTCATCAGACCAAAACAAAAACAAACAAACAAAAAGATGTGGCTAATAATATTTCCATTTACTATTGCCCTTTACTGCCAATTTCAACTTTTCATGTTTTAAGAAATAAATCATTATGGCTGGAAGATGGAATACTTTGTTTAATTTCAAGCTCATTTGAAATTAAGAAAAACTGTACAACAACACTGCAGCACTTAATACATGTATCTTGCTTTGATTAATCTATTATTCTATGCCTTTCCTAATTTCTTTTTGTTTGTTTGTTTTATGGATTTGTTTAAACATCCTCATTTAGAACTAATAAGAATTGTTGTGCATTGATCTGCTTTCATTTCCATTAGAAAGCTATATTTATAGAATTTATTAACCTGCATTCATTTTGTCTCATTTTATTAATATTGACTTCCCTGTTGTATTTGCCGAAATTAATGACTGCAGAGGTATTAGGCTATCCTCTTGTGATGATTAAAAGAAACCCAAATAATTCTAGTACACATGCCATGTATTGGAGACTTCTTTTCCAGTTGCTCCTTATTATACTTTTATATTTCTATAAGATGGTTAAGGCTTGACAGATTGTTTTCCACTAGTTTGTCTCAAGAGAAAATTTCTAAGTGCACTCAATATGTTGCGGAATTCCAACAGAAATAATATGGCTTAAAACCCAAAATGCAGCCCTGGGTACTGAGCATTGAAAAATAAAAATGATATTTTTTTGTAAATTGAAACTAGTTTTATACACCTAGAGATGTGCCAGATAAATGTGTTCAGTGTTCGTTACTGACAAATATAATAAAATAATCCCATTATTTTAAGCAGATCAATTACAAGTAAATATGCATAGTTTGTACTGTTAATTGGCTTAGTAGCTGATATATATATCTGTTGGTTTGTCCGATGTATGTGTTCGGACAAGCAGTGCATGGGATTTCGGACAAACCAACAGAAGAATAAGTGCATGCATTTGAAGAACATAAGAACTCAGTCAAAAAAGAGGAACCAACATCTTCCCTGGTCCAACACCTTAAAGCCACAGGACATGAAATTGACTTTAAAAATACTAGAACTATCACCAAAACTGAACATTTTAATAACAGAATAATCAGAGAAGCCATCGAGATAGAAAAATGCCCACACAGCATGAACAAATGAGATGATATGTCCCCCCTACCAGCCAATTGGAAACCCGCCCTTATTGACAAACGACTCCCTAACACAAAAAATGACACCAGACCCACACTCACAAAAACCACACAGGATACCACCACCACATATCCATGCAAAAAGCAAACCCAAAGCCACACCGATGATAAGGCACGGCCACAAACCAGAAGCCAGACCACATCTGCATCATTAGCTCCAATCCATACATGAAGCAAACTGACACCCTCCATGAAGATGAGGCACGACCACAAATGCGAAGCCAAAAAATAGCAAGGCAGCCTGCAATTCAGACTAACCTGACCACAACAAAGCCCCACCCAAACAGAACACTTCCCCAGCCAATCTGAGCACAGCCAACCCCCCAGCCAATCAGAGCACAGCCAAGCCTCTAACCAATCAGAACACACCTCCACCCAATCAGAACTCAGCCAAGATCCCACCCAATCAGTTCATACCCCCACTGGCAGTTAAAAGGAAGAAACAGCTAAGACCATACATTGCTCCTCGAAGCACGAAACTGAAAACACCAACCTGAAGATGACGAATGGGACTTCATCGAAACGTCGCCAAGACACTTCCAATTTTACACGGGAGAAAACCCGAACAACCAAAGATATATATATATATATATATATATATATATATATATATATGTATGTATGTATGTATGTACGTACGTACGTACGTACGTACGTACGTACATACATACATACATACATACAGTATATATATACACAAAAAAACATTAAGTCTGAATGTGAATCTCATGAACTAGTCTTTTCCCATTCTCTCTAGATCTTGCCTGGTCTTTAATAAATAGATATATATGCTTTTTATAGTGGGAGTACTATTTGAGCTTCAGTATTATGGATAATTATTAGATGACAATGAAGAGATTTAGAAAAGTCAAACTTGAAATTTTTACAGCTAGGTAGCTAACATACTTTGCCCTGACAGTCAGGAGCCTCAGACTTTATTGAGCCTAGCAAGGACATAAATTTTAGAAACTTCCCAGGAAAAAAATGTGCCTGCAAGACATCAGCAAACATACAAATCTGGAGACTGTCAGTTTAGGCACCACTGCTGAACTCAACAGCAGTGGCCTGGCATAAAGATCTTTGAAATGATTAATTTATTTTGTGGATGGATCTGGCTATGCTTTACAGCACTTTATGTTTGTCAGCATTCTATGTAATGTTAGTCTGTCAGAATGATGGCTTTGTTTAACCCTGTCCAACAGAAATGGCAGCATTGTCATGGGAACTGTGCTTTTAATGTCTGCCTGTCATGACTCATAGAGGTAGAAATGAAATATTTGATAGTTTATTTGCACTTTCAGGCTACTTTGTTTTTTATAACGGAACTTTTTTCTAGACAGTGTGACAAAATGAGTGCAGCTTTACAAGACAAAAGGGCTCCAATATCAAAATGTCATTTATATTCTGTATGTAAGGAGTTGTTACAACATAGGAACCATCCTTGTTTAATTTTATGCATGCAAAAAGGGAAAGGCTTAATCTGGATGGCATTTACTTGATGTCCTGTGGATAACAACAAGTAGGCAAGGGTATTTTCAACGATTTTTGTGCAGCTCTTTGCACACTTCCCATACAAATTCAAAAGTTCTCCAGGGCTCTGAGAAAAGATTGAAGAATTGGGTAGAGCGTGTGAGGCAAAGGATGAATCCAAATGTTTGCCTGCCCCTCTGTTTTCACTACAAAGAGAACATTTTTGTCACCTTTTAAGAATGTTGTCTTTTTGCTACCTTTACTTATCCATTTTTTTAAAACAAGGAAGCAAAAGTAAATCTCCTGTTATCAAAGTTCAATCATGATGAATAAATAAACTTACTTATGTGCCATACAGTATATTTCCAGTTTCCAGTTCTATAGCCAATTTTTTTGATTCACAAAAGCAATGCAAAACATAGAATGATTATTTTTTTTAAAAGGCTCTTAATGGCATTGTCTCCTTTTTCATAAGGAGCAATGCAAGCCTGACTTTAATCCTGCTCTATCCTTTTGTAGGCGGCTTCATTCCAATTATTTATACTGCGATTGTCACCTGGCATGGCTTTCGGATTGGCTGCGTCAGAGGCGATCGGTTGGACAATTCACCTTCTGCATGGCACCTGTTCACTTGAGAGGGTTTAATGTAGCTGATGTTCAGAAAAAAGAATATGTCTGTACAGGTAATACCTCATTATTTCACTTTCTTCTCTCATTTTGTACTAGTCTTCACATTAACTTGAAATAAACTACTGTAATGTTGGTCCTTTTAAATGCCACTCTGTGCCAATTCCAATTCAGTCATGCCTCAGTTAAATAGAGTAATAATATTTTAAATTACTGTGATTTGTTCCTAGGCTTTCTGAATTGTTGGACTGTGTTAATGGTTCTATACTTAGGATTTTTTTTAATGTTCAGATCATATTAATGTAAAAGACTAATTAACAAATAATATGCTCTTATTTCTCAGGAGAATGCCTTCTGAGCTTTATGTCTGACCTGCATACAAATTTATGGAATAAATTAGCAAATGTATGTAAAGTTCTGGCATTCAATTTAATGCATAATGGATACATATTGTGGCAAAAGAAACTGGAATATAATCCTTGCACAATGCAGTTGTGATATTTAATTTTTTAACAGATTTTGAAATTGTACTTAAGTTCAGAACCAGCTTACTATGCAAATGTGAATTATTTTCATGTTGCATAAGGAATGTATATAAAGTACACAAAGTGGTGTATGGGATTCTGATATTTCTAGAAAGTGCAAAAACCCATACATGATCATAGAACTTCTCTGTAGTGGTGCTCTTGCTTTAGCATTCATTATTAAATAAAGAATGTGCCTACATTCATTTCTTTTACAATACATCCTAAGTCATGTTGAAAGATCAAAAGAGAGATGACAACTTTTAACAAGGTAGACCACAATCTACTCCTCGGTAAGCTAGAAAAAGGTGGAATAGACAACATCACCGCCAGATTGGTCTGTAGTTGACTGGCAAACCATACTCAATGAGTAGTCCTCAATGGCACTACATCCACATGGAGAGAAATAAGCAGTGGAATACCACAAGATTCCATTTTAGGCCCAGTACTCTTCAATATCTTCATAAATGACTTGAGGTAATTGAAAGGGAACTCATCAAATTTGCAGATGACACTAAACTGGCAGGAGTAGCCAACACCCAAGACAAACTCAGGATCCAAAAAGATCTTGACAAACTTGAACAATGGGCCCTGTCCAACAAAATGAGTTTCAATGTGGAGAAAAGCAAAGTTTTAGATTTAGGCAGGAAAAATCAAAGGTACAAGTACAGACTGGGTGACACCTGGCTTAAAAACAGTAACTGTGAGAGGGACATCGGAGTCCTAGTGGACAATCACTTAACCATGAGGCAGCAATGTGCAGCAGCAGCCAAAAAAGTTAATACAATCCTGAGTTGTATAAACAGAGGCATAGAACCAAGATCACACGAAGTATTAGTACTGTTTATAAAACCCTAGTAAGACCCACACCTGGAATACTGCAGCCAGTTTTGGCCACCATATCACACAAAAGATGTTAAGAGTTTGGAAAAAATCCAGAGAAGTGCAACTAAGATGATCAAAGGCCTGGAGACTAAAACATACGAAGAACAGCTGCAGGACTTGGGTATGGTTAGTCTAAAGAAAAGAAGAAATAGGGAAAACATGATAGCAGTCTTCCAGTATCTGAGGGGCTGCCACAAGGAAAAGGGGATCACGTTATTCACCAGAGCACCAGAGGAAAGGATGAGAAACAATGGTTGGAAACTGAACAAAGAGAGAAGCAACCTAGAATTAAGGAGTGACAGTGAGGACAATTAACCAGTGGAACAGCTTGCCACCAGAAATCATGGGTGCTCCATCACTGGAGATTTTTAAGAAGAGGCTAGACAGTCACTTGTCTGAGATGGTATAGGTTATCCTATTTAAGCAGGGGGCTGGACTAGCAGACCTCCAAGGTCCCTTCCAGCTCTATTCTATTCTATTCAACCACACTTTTGCTAACAATATCTCAAGTGTCAAGGCCATGAATTATCAGTGGAAACTCTGACATTTCAGAAACATACAGTAAAAAGATTCCAGTAATTCTCTTTCTTTTATCAAGAGACAAATACATTCTTGATATATCAGGCAAGGTTGTATAAGTTTTGTATCTTTAGGAAACTGAGCCTATATTTCAACTGATACCATTCATAACCACATATGTATATAGAAATGTATTTTCTAATCCAATCTATTATTACTTTTTTCAGAGAATGTTTCAGTGATATCTGTTAATGATACATCAAACTTGTTTTTTTCAATGCATTTTAATGTTTTTTTCAACATAAATGTGGGAAATTATCTTCCAATAATATATGCACAATGTTTTTGGAAAATGACTGTTGTGTGTGGGGGAGATATTTCCTGAATATTTGTTTTGTAAATCAGTATTGCCTTATTAATTAAAAAAAAAACCTTCAGAAAGTATGCACAAAGCTGTACTCATCTCAATACAAAGAAAGTATTACCCAGCAATAAAAAAATAATGCTTTAACAAACAATTAGATAAGTAAACCTTGCAAGAAATAGTATCCTTTCTTTAAAGTTTAACATGTTGGTTTGTGTATATCACTGCATGTATAGTTGTTTTTATTATAAATATATATTAGAAATATGATTGTCTTAGATAGTGTTTAAATAATTTATACTTTAAGAAATAGGATATAGAAACGTTTTAATTTGAAACTAAAGTAATAAAAGAGATTGTATTTAAAAAATAATTTGGAACTAAATGTTATCAATATCTAATAATGCTCATATTTATGAATAGCATTTCCAGGGGAAAAAAAGAAGCATTAATTCAGGAGGCACAGTCATGAGCTATGGCTTAAAATGACTTTAGGACACTGATGCCTCTTCTAATTCATCCAGGTGTGTCTAGGTGAGGCTGCCTTTAGATCTAGTCTGCAAACTTCAATTGATATAGGCCATATTGGATTCTAATTTGTTTCCAGATGAAGTATAAATTTCACATAAAATTTAGCTAATTTCCATAAAAATTAGCACTTTGTTCCTTTCTTAAAATACACAATGCAATCCTCAACAGACATGAAAATATTTTGAAGAACAGAATCTAGACTCTGGGAAGATTATTAAAATTAATCTTAAAAAATATGTAAAGAATGGTGCTGTGTTCTCACTATAGAAATGCATGTAAGATTTTTTTGTTACATTGTATTGTATCAACTGATATATCTCTGCTAATAGAACAATATCATTTGTGGCATCGTTTTCTCCTTCCTCTACATTGGAGCTTCTCCAGATTGGCTCCAGCAACATGTCTGGAACAAATACATTGAAAGAAGCAGCAGGAAGGAAAACAAAATAAATCCTGAAGCTAAAACTGTAATGTAATTCAAATACATAAAATGTACAATATTTAAAGGACAATAACTTTGCAAGAAGGGTTTCTCTCTTTGATAGCTTTTCACAACATCTAAAGGTAGTAATCAGTTAGACTACCCATAACACCACTCAGGCTAATAAATTTTGATATAAACAAATGCTACATTTCAAATAGTGATTTTAATTTTCTTTTCCTATTCAGGTTCACATGCTGAACCACCACCCTGCAATGCCAATTCTGTCAATTGCCCATCTGCTTGCACTTGCAGTAATAGTATTGTGGACTGTCGAGGAAAGGGCTTAACTGAACTTCCAGGCAACCTACCAGACAATATTGTGGAAATGTAAGTATCTTAACCCTAGTGCCCCAAGGAAAAGTTCAGGAGGTGTCCATCTGCCCCCCCCCCCCCCATATACTACTAGCTTCCAATTTGACCTGTTTCCATTAAAACAGTTGAAGCTGGCCAGAAAGAAAAAAAAAGTGTCAGTCTTCAGCAATGTCTATAATCTCCAATACTTCCCAAGTAAAACATCAGCTTTCTTATGAAATAAAAATTATGGGTATCTGTAGACCATGACCTTACTGGGGGGGGGGGCATGTCCACATACCCAGAAACAGGACAAAATTAAGATTTGCATAGATTTTTTTCAGGATACGGTGGCTAGAAGGAGATAACACATAATGTTCTCTTAGGTTGATGCTTATGTTTTTATGCTAGCTATTTGTGAATCAGCAACATTTTGCAAAAAGTCCTATAACATGTTCTTAAATAACCATCGTAAAAATAGTTAGGAAAGCTTATCTTTGTATCCTTTTCTCTGGCAGTGTAATTCAGTCAAGACAGAAATGTCATGTACACCATGTTCTTGAAAGCTATATGATAGAGAAGAGGTTATCCTTAATTTAAATATTATTTTTAAGGCTACATACAGTCAACATAAATTCAAAAAAGAGACCTTCATAAATCAACCAGCTTAATAAATCCAACCAACTTAATAAATCATTTTTTTCTATCATCTCTCCTTAATGTTTACAAAGTATAATAGTCAATCACTTGGGATTTTAAAAAAAAAAAATAAAGAATTTGTGCTGAAATTTTAGAGTAGAATAAGAGAACATTTTAATTTAATTCCTAATATGTATTCTTTTCTACATTCTAGCCATCAAACTTTATCATACAAAAGCAGCAAAAGTTGGTTGGTAGAATGGTCATTCCCACAAGAAGAGAACAATCTGCTTCTTTCCCATTCAAAAATGTTGCTTTGAGTTACTAATAACACATCAGTTGCTAAGTTAAATGATTAACATTCATAATTTAAACATTCAGAGTGATTTTTAATACTGTTTTTTAATCATTTGCCAGTTTCAAAGAGCTGTTAAAAATGTGTGCGAAAGTGTGGTACCAAAAAGCTAGTTATGTTATTTGCTTATTAACTGCATTGATATTAAACAAAAAAGCAAAATATAATAGTCTTAATACTAAAAAGTGAATTTACATGAATTTGCATGCAACAGTATTATACTTACAAAGAAAATCAAGTACATGAAAAGTAAGCTGAAGATCTAAACTAAATTCAATGTTATATTCTTATATTCCCTAATCCATGAAAATAAAGTTGGGGAAAGTCCTAAAAATGCATGTAAATTCATGCATCTTTAGTATTTTCACCCAAGTTTATTTTCATGGATTAGGGAATATAAGAATATAACACTAAATTTAGGTTAGATCTTCAACTTGATTTTCATGTTCTTTATTTTTTTCTATAGTGATAAATATCACTGTTGAAAACAAGATTATCCTGCTTTTTGAGAGAAAGACAGAACAAAGAGACAGATCTGTCAAAATAACTAGCATTAATTGGAATATCTGAATAATGAGTGTGTGTGTGTGTATGTCTGTGTGTCTGTGCATGTTTCATTTCTTAAAACATATAGACTTCAGTGCCTCTCATTCTTTTTATTTTAAAAGTAATAGAAATTTGTGGGTTTTTCTCTGGAACATAAGACAGTTATCTTTTTGGATTATATTCATCTATTGCACAGCATGCTTTTATAATAACATGGGATAATAAATGTCAAAGTCAGTTTCTTTGATTTAATCCCATGTAGAGTTGAAAGCAGGTATTGGTGACCAGTTATATAATGAGTTTTCATACTTTGCAAAATGACATCCTAAAATGTTAAATAAGTATGTGTGAATCCCTCACTGGTAAATAAAATCAATGATTTAATTGATGCTTAGGGTTGATTCAAAAACAATTATATTGCTTATTTTTAAGGATTAAATTCAAAATGACTTATTAAAGAAAACAATGATAGAAATGGGATTAACGTGTTAGTAAATCACAGGTTTTCAGGCAATTGACCTAAATTCCATTCCTTGTCTTGCCATTGCAGAAGATTCAATTGACCAAAGCTATGATGGCTAGCAAAGATCAATAGCTCTCAGCTATAGCAGTAACAATCATGGCACACAGAAGATAGCAAGCTGAAATATAAGTGAAATAAATGGTAAATGAAATAAAAGGATTAATTAAATGAATGAAAAGAAAAATAGATATAGCAGACCCTCAGTTAAGTAGACCATTTATGGGGACCTGTTTATATCCTGGTTTGTTTTTTTTTTTCAAACATTCATTCTCTTTTGCAGGCTTAAAGAAACCTATTCTAACACTTACTTAAATTGTACTGAGTTTGCCATTTGGTTGACCTTTTACTCAGTTTAAAAGGATTGTTCTAGACCATGGGTGTCAAACTCACATGACATATTGTGACATATCACAACGTTTTTTGCCTTTGTGACACATCTGGTCCCCAGGCTGCCAATTTGACACCCCTATTCTAAAGTTTTTCAAGCTTTTCCACCCTACATATCATTCACAAGCTTGTGCACTACTTTCCTGCAAAGATAATTTATGAACAAGTTTAAACAGACTATTACCAGCAGAGATCTCTGAAGAAACTTCATTTTTTTAAATTTCCTATCTGTTTAGAAATTTGTTCATTTATTCCTTCTTTTTGCTTGCTTTATTTTTTTCCCACCAGCTAACAGACCCTAGAAATATAGGTGTTCTTATGACCACTATGTTCACACAAAAGCTTTGATGACTTTATCAAAAACATTTTTTTGTAAAATTGAACAACACAGTGTTGACATTTCAACTCCAAACTATTTTGTCCTTTAAAAAAATAACACGATTGATCATTATATTAAGAAATCAATCAAATAATCACATTAAGTTGGATACAGAATGGTTCCCCCAATTTTTATTACTATCACAATATTGATTTATATAAATTGTCTACTAGGTGCACCAGATATAAAGCTCTAGATGCTTATCATATAGAATAACATCCCAAAACAGCAATTCCTAGTGCTATAACTAGTTAATTCAATGGGCAGATTTAAAAGGACATAGCTATTGCTGCTTTCATATGTTATACTATTTGCATTTAATGCAATTGATTATTGGTATTTTAATTTGTTTAGTACCTAAAGAATGACATCCTTATAACTTATAGAAGCATATGGAAGGATCTAAATGCCATGAAAAGTTATGCTTGTTATTGTTTTCTAGTTAATATAAAATCTACTAGTCACATGCCTTCTTTGAAAAAGCAGTGTTTGATAAAAAAAAAGGATTGTCAGAATCAGTTCTTCATATCCAGTACTGAGCATCTCTGATTTAATTGGCAAGAATGTGGCATAATGTGAATTTTTGCTTGATATTTTCATATTTTCTGCCTCAATGTTTAACCTTATTGCCGGAAAAAAATGCAACAGTTAAGTGATACTATCCTAACTAGCAGTTATCTACTAAAGGTGATTGCATAGAAAAATGTGTTTTGATTGTTTTTTTTCCACAGTGGGTAATCTGTTCTCTGATTTGTTTTATTAATCTTGTTGTGGTATTAATTATGTCTTTTTAAACAATATGAAAAATTAACTGCTTATTTGCTTAATGACTTTTCCCAGTTTGTGAAAATCTTAAGAAATGCCAATTGTAAATACGTATCTCTGTTTCTTGAATGTGTGCACATATAAATACCTACACACAAAGACTGGTAATATAACTTTCGAATGTCCCAAAAGAAGTTGCAACTTGATTCTTCTGCATTAACTTCGCAAGACAAAGCAGCACCATGGAAAGCTCCCAGTGATTCCATCATGTCTTTTACTTTCAAGATCCATCTCACTTCAAGAAGAGAGAGATTCTTTAAAAATACAGTAGTTTTTTTCCTTCTGTCTTCTTTTTGTGGCCTCTCACCTGGCATATTCCCACCAACTTTGGACAAATATAGTGGAAATCTGGTCTCAGGGGAAGGCATTAATGATGACTCTCAGCACATCTTTCTGGTAAACAGATCAGAAACTCAGTCAATTTTAAAAAACATTTTCAATGAAACATTTTGCAAAATTTTTGCAACACTAAACAATAATGCAAACTAAGCTCAGAAATAAGAATAAAAAATATTTAAAAAAGGAAATACAAAGTACAAAGGAAAAGAACAGAAGGGAAAAAAAGAACAAAGGAAGCAAAAAATATTTTTAAAAAAACTCCTTATCCTTCTTGTAACAAATTCAGACAAATTATTTTATTCATTCCTACTATATGATTATACACATAATTCACTTCTTCCCATATCCTCCTCCTCACTTTATCCAATCACAAATACAAAAACCATTGTTATTTCTGTATGGGCATCAGCAACCAATCTATAAAAGATTATAGTTACTAGTTACTTTCCTAATGTCCTTTCTGGGTGAGACTGCTAGACAGTCTATGTTTAGGATTCTAGCTTTAACAAAATGTTAAATTTATTCTTTTGGGAAACCTACAGTGAAATATGTATTTTGTGGGTCACAAACCATATCAAGCTATAGAGTGTAATTATGAAGCATAACAGTTCAATTTAGACAGTGTAGCATGATAAAGTATGAACTTATCCAATGCTTATTTTCAATTCTAAGCAAAACCTTAAACAAAATGCTGCTGAAAGTTCTAGTCAGGGAGGCATGTCATCCTCCAAGCAGTAGAAACTAAAAGATGCTCAAAAAATCATTTTCTATACCTCAGTTCAGATATTTTCTTTTCTATCAAAATCAACATTCATGGATATTCAAGCACATTCAGTTGTTCAGGGAAAGGATTTACTGTTCCTCTACATCATCAACCTACCAATAGATTGATTTTGTTTTACAGCTTAGTAAGCATTGATCAACCATCTTCTATTAATCAATTAACATATGTTTACAGTTGACAACAGGAAGCCAAGTTATTTCTTATTTGATGAATATATAAATATTGAGCTAGAAGAAAAGGCTTAACTGGCTTGATTCTAGCATTATGTAAATTATTTGTTGTAAATCAACTAGTATGTCTATAAAGCAATGATATTCTATACAAATACAAACATTAAAATATGAAAAAGTTATTGACGGAGATTGGTGATTTATCTATATCTTGAATATCATACATGATTTCAATCATTTTTAAAACTATACTTCATATTTCTGGTAAACAAACTCATATATCAGAGAGAGATTGTTCCAGAAGTAAATTTTTATTCTTTATATTCACTCAGTTTTGTATTCACTCATGCATCACATCCATTGATGTAGCAGTTATCAGTTCATGTGGCTTTATGATTGGTGGCTCTGTGAAATTAAATAAGGTACCGTAAATGCCGGCGTACAAGGCGATCCAGCGTATAAGACGACCCCCGTCTTTATAGCCGGGCCGCATTCCTAGAACGTCGTCTTATACGCCGGAAACTACCAGTATTTCTGGCATATAAGACGACTCGGCGTATAAGACGACCCCTGTCTTTGGCGCCGATTTCAGCGCTCGCAGAAGTCGTCTTATACGCCGGCATTTACGGTATTTAAAATCTGAAACCACCAGATCTTTGCTGGGAAACAGGTCACCAAAGGGAATATAATTTCATATTTAAATATCATTATAACAGGCACTATCAAGAATGTATTTATTTATATATCCATAGTATTGTTTTACTTCTGTATGAAATAATGTGTCTTTCTGTGTCAATTATCTATATTATTTTTTCTATATAACTGACATGCATATATTAATAACAAATATTTATCAATACAGTACATGGCATGCAGTTAATGACCCAGCTTTAAGGCAGAATCCGTTTCTGTGTCTCTACACATATACACACATAAACACACACACAATGATGTCTTATTATTTTGATGTAGTGTTCTAATACTCATAGAGTGATAACAAAAAAATGGTGAACCTTGAAATAGATTTGTACAGGATATATTGTGATTTTTATTGCTAGAATATCATTTATTAGCTTTTAGTACATCTTTTTTTTTCTTGCTGGCTATTTTTATTGCTTTGTTGAAAGTCTAGTCCAGATAGCAAAAGTTATATAAAAGACAATAATAAAGCCAGAATATAAAAGGACTTGCTCTTATAGCATGTTCAGAATATCTCTGAATCTATCAAGCTTCTCTGTGTTCTCTGCAGTGTTTTCAATTTTATTAGAGCAAGTGAAGGAAATTGTTCTTGTCACTTGATCTGAACAGTTGTTGAAGTCTTAAAAATAAACTCCCAAAGGTTAAAAAAAAAAAGCTGATTTTAGTATATCAAAACAGATCACAGAACTGTAGGCCTGTGAGATATTTTCAAGGATATCTTTCAGAATTCTATTGTACAGTTCTAAAAAACTATTTAAAGTTGTTTACAAAGTATTATGGAATATATTAAAGGTTATCCTTTTCAGTTTTATAATGATCTCAGAATCATAGAATGTACAGCCTGAGAGGACCTTGAGATCGTATACTCCAATAAGCTAAATATCTAATATTCTATTTAACCTTCTATCTTAACTGTAATGCTAAACAAGTAGAAATATCTTTGTGTAACAGGACCTTTGTTTCCTGTGTTCCTCTGATATACTCATTGTTCACCCTAGATCTGCTCTAGAAAGACACAACATTTTCTTGGATTTTGTTGAGAAAATCTATTATGCCTCTATTACCATTTATAGAAAGCACATGGTATAATTTACCACACATGCTACTCCTGCTTCTTATTATAATGTTTCTCATTCTGCTATTAATAATATTAAATCCATATTTTGTGATTCTTTACTTTTACATCAGATTTGTGTTTTGCTTAAATATCATTTTCAAAAGAAGTTTTATCTTGGCAAAATTTATATAAATAATAAAAATTAAATGCCAAGGATTTTTCGTGTATCTTTGTAAGTTTGGCAATAATACTTCTTCTTTTTTTCAGCCGTTTAGAGCAGAATTCCATAAAAGCCATTCCTCCTGGAGCCTTCTCTCAATACAAGAAACTTAAAAGAATGTAAGTTAAATGTCCTGGTATGCTTACTATTTTCAGTATATTTTGCCATTCCTTGAGACAGCCATGTAGACAAAGTTCTAATTTTTCCACAAGTTTTCCAGACTTCCATATTTATACAAAATTATGTGTGGAATTCTTGAATTTGACACCAATTCTTGTACATATTCTTCTAGCTTTTACTTTCTCAAGGTAAGCTGATTTCCTAGGTAATTAAAAATGGACTGATTGCCCTTTCTGTTTTCCCCTTAATGCCCATTTTTACTCAAATTTTCCCCATGTTTTTTCCATCTCATGAAGCAAGCTTGAAGATGTAAGCAGTGATACTTGTATTTCTAGAAGTTCACTCTTTGAGACAAACTAGTATGAAACAGTAGAATAGAAGTATATAGAAGTAAATAGAAACTGCTCATGTAAAAATTAAATCCACTTAATGTATTTATATTTAACCTCATAAATTTAGGCAAGCAGGAATTAAGACGGGGGTGTCTTCTTAATGCAATGGAGGCAGTGTATCTAATACTACATGTCAATTAAACCAATACAATCAGCTATTCTATTCTTTCTGTACTATCCACAAATTATTTTAAGTATTATTTCATTAATAAATGGACTTAAGTAAGTTCTTTATACTTGTAAAGAAAAATCATCTAAGTACAGTTTGCTTGCAGTAATAGTATTTTTATTTAATTTGATAGGAAATAAGTTCAATTTTCAAAAACAGCATGGTTTTTTTTAATATTGATGCTAATGTGGGTGTTGAAAACACTTGATAATTTCAGTATAATTACTCTAAATTTACATTTGTAGTAAAAAGGGAGTTTAGTAAAAAGAGCAAAGCATAAAAGTGTTATTACAGATCTGCTGAAATTTTATTTGGAAACTAAAATATATAGCTGAGGGTCATGAAAAATATTCAAGAAATTACAGAGGTACCCTTTATTTTTTAAGTGAAGAAAATATAGTCAGTACTAAAGTCACTTTTTTGAAAATGAGCATCAATGAATGTGGTGGCAGAATGCATAGGACTACATGTTAATTCATATATTTTATAGTGGACATCCAGGATGAAGCAAAATATCTTCAGTGGGTACCACATGGATATTAGAGTGAAGAGCACTCAATAGGGCAAAAAAAGGGGCCATGTGTGTTATGCATCAAAACTGATGTAATGTGGATACATTTAGATGTTTCACTCAGTTATCTGGCTGCTGCATTCTACATCAGTTGGTTTTCAAACCAAACACAATGGTAGCCCAAGTAGACTGCACTTGAATACATGAACAACAGTGAAAAACTATCTCATGAAAGAGTACAATTGTCATTATATATGAAGCTGGTAATAGGCATTCCTTCCTATCACTGTTTTTCCTGAGGAAATGCAGTGCAACTGAGAACAAACTCAATTCTTATTCCCTGAACTCCCAAACTCTCCATCTTGTTTAGCTTTATTTGCTTCCATGTACACCATTACTGTATCTAGACACTGGTTCAGAACATGCATATTATTTCGAGCTGAGTGTCATCAGCTGCCAAACCCCTTATACCCTTCCCAGTAGCTTCATATGAACAGTACTAGGGATAAAACAGTAGTTATCAAAAAAAAAAAAAATAGGAAAGAACTGCTATATCAGAATTCCCTAATTCTCAGGTCATTGGAACACTCAAAGAGAATATGTGGGTGAAGATAGCTAAAGTTGCTCAGAATTTGAGCAGAATATTGATTCAAGGGCCTCTGCCTATCTGCTGCAGGTCACCTATTATGAAAGCTGATTTTGTTGCAAATCCATAGCTGAAGCCAGATTGAAAAAAGTAAAAATAATTAGTGTGTTCCAATAATAGGTATAGCTGTGTAGATCTATTGTATTATGCATCTTGTTTCAAAAAGGGACATTTAAAGCTGAGCAGTAATTGACATAATCTTCTGGATCCAGTGAGAGATTGTCCAAGAATGAACATACACTGCCTCCATTTCATTGTGCAAAAATTTATTCATCATTTCCACAGCTATGTGTCTCAAAAGATCCAAGATTTCAAGAAAGAATGTGGTAGGCTAGATAGACTCAAGAATCTTCTCATACTCAGCCCTCAGGAATGGAAGATACTCCCCCCCCCCAAAAAAATCTGGACCAGTCTGTGCATTGGACATCTCATTTAATGTTCTGTTGTTATATGTAAGCAAATTAAAATATCTTGCAACTCTGTTACCATAGATTTGCTAGGACTGTGAATGAAAGCAAAATTGAGTTTGTTCTGTCCTTTTCCCCAAACTTCCAAAATTTCAGTGTGTTTCAGTGTATTTTAACTTGGAGAATCCCAACTGTTTACAGATGAGTTTGTTTGTGATAATTTCAATACATATTATTGTGCACATCCAGCATCAAAGAATTTTTGCTATGCCTGAGAATCAGTTTGAAATATTCAGGGTTCTTATTAAGTTCACATTGAGTAATTAAATGTGTGAGGCAGCTAGTGCTGTTTCTTTTCTTTTCTTTTCTTTTTCTTTTTTTGCCTTCAATAAAGTAACACTTTCTTGTAAGACTTTTCCATATAAAGCAGAAGGAAAGTTCAATAATTTAAATCCCAAGGGAGAAGCTCAGACTGATCAGAGATGCTGGAGCTTCTGTCAACAGTATAATACAAGTGAAGACCACAACAATAATATTAGGCTAGAAAGGGAGGAAAAATGTGAGAGTGAAATTCAGATTGGAATAGCCATAGGTATTTTAAGTGATAATAAATAGCTATACAGCTTGACTTCAAATGCTTTGATATGGTAAAATATATTGCTTATGCATAAAATGACAGTACAGAACCACACAAAAAAGCTAGCTGAATAGTATGGCCTTTTTGGAAGGTGGTGCTATCTTCAAAAAGTGACTATATTACTTCTATTCACTAGGACTGTGCCAGGTTTCAAAGAATTCTTTGCTTCACCAAAAGTTTAAGCAAAAAAGCATTTTTGAGGGAAATGTATTTCACTTCAGTGAGAATTGTTGCCTCATTGGAGTGAACCCAGATTACCTTCTACAATTCATGATCTTTTCAGTGAACAACATAATCAACAATAACATACAACAATTTAAATGGAGCTAAAGTGGGTACCAGAGCTATTTAAGCATAAATAGTTTTCAGAAGTGTAGGAGGTTTTTTTTATAAAAAATATGTGTGTCTTGTCTTCTCTTATATCTTTTTGCAGTGATATCAGCAAGAATCAGATTTCAGATATTGCATCAGATGCTTTTCATGGACTGAAATTACTCACCTCTCTGTAAGTACAGAATAACCTTGAGGGGGGGGGTTAAAGACTGGATTAAATGGATTAAATATTGGTCTGTTATGCTTTCATTTTCCTTGTGTAATGTTCTCCTTGTAGGAAGGTCTAACCTTTGTTTAATTGAAATTGATCTGAGTTGAAGGTGCCATTGTTTGTGCAAATCTAGATTCCTTTTATAGATGAACACAGTATGAAGGTTAATTATTAGGCTACTGTAACATCAGATCACACTCTGTATTTTTATTTCCCTGGATATTAAAGATCATATTAACATACAGCAGTTTACTGCATGTTACTAAATGGAACCTAAATCTGAATTTGTTTTGGGGAAAATAAACTGAGATTTAATTTGATAATGATATGCCTAGTTCATTGAAACTACTCTATGTATTATTGCTTTCTCAAAAAGATGGTTGGGCTGCAGTATGCCCTAATAACAAATAATTAGTGATGCAAGCACAATCAGATATTAGATCTTAAAGCAGTATTTTAGCTCATCTACACATAATAAATAGCATTATAATTAAGATGGCTTTAAAAGGTCATAAGCTAATATCAGAGAAGATTCAAGTAATTTATTTGTTTGTTTGTTATGTTTAATGCACTTTTCAGTTTTAAAAAATAAAGCAAAAGCAGAGAAAACATTAAACAGTTAAGGAGCTAGACAACCCTCACCCCTTGGTCATCCCTTCAGATATTTCCTTACCAAATTCCTCAATGCTTTCAACCATAAGAGAACTTCTAATGTACTGCCTTCATTGGCAAGGTTTGGGTGTATTCAGATAGATATCTGTCTTGAAAATAGCCATGTTGAATAGTCAAAAATCAGCACACAAATGTTTTATGGCAATTTTATGACAGAAAATGTTTTATAAAATTTTCCCAATTTCAATTCCATGAGAGTCATGAGTTCCATATTTTGGCCACATTTTTAAATGTTAGCCTATTTGAGTTAGCTTGGTTTAGAAAATTCTTTGCCTATGATGCAGTTAAAGATTACAAAAATGAGAGCTTTAGTATATTGATTAAAAATAAATAATTCAAGTTAAAACAATCTTAAAATAATAAATCATAAGAAGTTTAAAAACCAAAATGTGATTGATTTGATACTATCAAATTAATTAAGAGTTAACAGTAGAGCCAGTTTAAATAAATGAATAGGTAAACAGGAAATTCTTAAGCTGGTGCCAGTATTATTTAACAGGAATATTCATAAGAAGGAAAACACTCCTTTAGATGTTGAGGTTTAAACGTTATACACTGAAGCTGATATATTGTAAGTTGTTTGCAAAAGGTTACCTGCTTCAGAAAATGCTCCAGCATTTTCCACTAGCCACAATTCCTAGATCTATTGCATGGAAAAACCCACATGCAATGCATTACAGGAATCCAAACTCGATGTTTACAATGCATGAATTACTATAACCAAGTTATCCTTTCCAGAATGGCCAAAGATCAAGAACAAACTGAACCTAGAAAATATATTTATTGAGTGTGAATTAGTACTAAATATATTTTCAAAATCAGTTTTGCATTAATTTATTTAAGAAGCTTTAAGGCCATCATTACATTCAGACTATCCAATAAGATCTTATTCAATTTCTATCTTTTATGGAACTCTATTCTTTGCAAGAAGTAAATAACAGGTGTCAAAAAGTTTTCTTCCTTGTTTTTTAGTTTATTCATATCATTTTCATATCCTCTCTACCATGGAATCTTTACTGTTTTGCTCAGTTTTTAAAGATTTCTTTAAAATTATTGTTTTATTGTTTCATGTTATGAATCCTTATGTTTTATGTTATATTATTACACACTATTGAAATATAGTGTGTAATATGCTGATATAAGTAATACAATTTTCTTTTTACAACACAGTGTAATTGTCCTATTATCAGTAGTTGGCCAAATAACAATAGGAAGTTTATATAAGATAGCTTCTAAACTATTGCTATATTTTCCAGTGAAAGCAAAAAGTAGATTATATGTTTAAGTCTATGGTTATTTGGGGAAAATGTTTAATTTAAATGCCACAAAAAATTTGTAAATAAACACAATATTATAATATGGCAAAAATCCTAGAGCTCAGTACGTTGGCACTCCAATCCTAAATATTTATGCCAATGCATCTGTTTATGAAAAGCCAACATAAGGACCTTGATGTTGTAAAATCCTATTATGTATGCTAGAGATTGCCACATTTGCATCTGAATGTTTTCCCTTTCGTTTGCATTTTCATAGTTCCTCTCTAATGAATAGAGCATTTTCATTTTTACATTTTGAATGTTTAAGGCACAATTTTACAATTTAGCAGTGAGGCTTGCTTGCATACTGAAGTAAATAAAAGCACCTGGTAGCACATCTGAATTACATCCAATAAGTCCTGTTATGTTGCTTTGGCTCCATATTAAGCTCTTCTGGAGCAGTGTAATCGTTTTTAGTTAATGTGTCAAAAAATAAATTATATGATAAAAATTATTCCTAAACTCAGCCCTCAGATTGTATTTGCATATCTGAATTAATATTGGGCTGGGGTCTATTGTTAACTTTTAAAAAATCTTTCCTCTGGAAAGTGGGAGTGGGGAATAAATTTCTGTTTAAATATTTTTAATAATGTTTAATGAGCTTCCTGTATTATTGCAGAATAGTGACGGGTGCTGGATTTCTTTTTTCTTTACACATGGCAGCCCACAGTTTCTAATATGAAAAGGTGCTATGAGAGAGTTGTCTAATGATATTATATTCTGAGATTTCATTTGGAATTGAAAGCTAGAGACACTGCAGATTAAGTAAGAAAGCTATCTTTTAAATTATGTTTTAGTTGTGATAAAACCCAAAGTTTTTTTGTTAAACTTCTCAGGAATAATAATAACAACAACAACAACAACAACAGAGTTGGAAGGAATCTTCTAGTCCAACCCCCTGCTTAGGCAGGAAACCCTACACCATTTCAGACAAATGGTTGTCCAGTCTCTTCTTTAAAACTTCCAGTATTGGAGCATTCACAACTTCTGGAGGCAGGTTGTTCCACTGATTAATTGTTCTAACTGTCAGGAAATTTCTCCTTAGTTCTAGGTTGTTTTTCTCCTTGATTAGTTTCCATTCATTGCTTCTTGTCCTGCCTTCAGGTGCTTTGGAGAATAGCTTGAGTCCCGCTTCTTTGTGGCAACCCCTGAGATATTGGAACACTGCTATCATGTCATCCCTAGTCCTTCTCTTCATTAAACTAGACATACCCAATTCCAGCAACCATTCTTTATATGTTCTAACTTCCAGTCCCCTAATCATCTTTGTTGCTCTTCTCTGTACTTTCTAGTCTCAACATCTTTTTACATCGTAGTGACCAAAACTGGATGCGGTATTCCAAGTGTGGCCTTACCACGGCATTATAAAGTGATATTAACATTTCACATGATCTTGATTCTATCCTCTGTTAATTCAGCCTAGCACTGGGCTGGCTTTTTTGGCAGCTGTACCCTATTGCTGGCTCATATTTAAGTGATTGTCCACTAGGACTCTGAGATCCCTCTCACAGTTACTACTATTGAGCAAGATACCACCTATACTATATCTGTGCATTTGGTTTTTCTTGCCTAAATGTAGAATCTTACTTTGTTCTCATTGAATTTCATTTTATTAGATAGTGCAGAATGTTCAAGTTTGTCCAGATCTTTCTGTAACTTAAGCCTATCTTCTGGAATGTTGGCTAATTCTTCCAGCTTGGTGTTGTCTGCAAATTTGATGATTTCCTCATCTATCTCCTTATCCAAATCATTGATAAAGAGGTTGAAGAGCACTGGACCCAGAACAGAGCACTGGGGCACTGGGGCACCCCACTTCCCTCCATGTAGATGCAGTTCCATTGAGGACCACATGCTGAGTATGGCCGGTCAGCCTGCTATGAATCCATCTGGTGGTGATGCTGTCTAACCCACATTTTTCTATCTTATCAAGTAGTAGATTGTGGTCTGCTTTATCAAATGCCTTACTGAAGTCCAAGTAAATTATATCCACAACATTCCTCTGGTCCACTAATTTTGTCACCTGATCAAAGAATGCAATAAGACTTGTCTGGCATGATCTGTTTTTGACAAACACATGTTGGCTTTTGGTTATGAGTTTGTTTGCCTCTAGGCATTCTCTGATTCATTGCTTATCTTTTCCAGAATCTTCCCAGGTATTGAGGTTAGGCTGATAGATCTGTAGTTTCCTGGATCCATTTTTTTCCCTTTTTTGAAGATGGAAACTACATCAGCTCTTTTCCAGTCCTCTGGTAGTTCCCCAGTGCTCCAGGATCTTTGAAAAATATAGTTCAGTGGTTCTGAGATCATCTGCCAGTTCCTTCAGAATCTTGGGATGTAATCCATCTGGTCTTAGTGATTTGAACTCGTCACTTACCATTTTCTTGCCTATTTTAACTTGTGTTTCTAATCTGTTTTTTACAGCAGAGGTCCCCAACCTTTTTGGGCACCAGGAACCAGCTCCGTGGAGAGAGGTTTTTCCACAGACCAGAGGGTGTGTGGTTTTATGTGCTGCCTGCATCCCTTGGATGAGGCTTTGCTTGTTTGTGCGAACCAATTGCTGGCCTGCCGCAGCCCGGTACTGGTCCACAGACTGGTTTTGGGGGACCCCTATTTTACAGTACTGTTTTTGATAAGTTGGCCTGTTTATTTCCCTTTGTGTAAAGATGGATGCAAAACAATTGAAAGAATAAAATAAAATATTAGTGAGCTCAGCTTTCAAAATTAAATGTGTGTTTTCATTCAATATTTTTTTTCTTTACGTGTGCTTGTGTGTGCATGTCTTATTAAAATCTTTGGGATTTTTTTTCTGCAAAGTGTAGTTTTACTGGTCAGCTATTTAAAAAAATATTCTATCTCCAACATATTTGATATTTAAAACAGTATCTTGAATTGCAACAGTAAAATTGAATCACAATTACTGAACCAAATTTATGAAGAACACAACACATATTTGCTTTTCAGCTCTCAGTCAATTTTACTGTAATAGTTTATAACAAAAATGCTTATTGATAGCGCTGCCCTTTGGAACAGAATAGAACAGACTGGAAGATAGTTACCTTCACATGGCGGATTGCTAGTTTCCAGACCATTTTTCTAATTATCTGTATGCTTTAACCAGCCAAGAAAATTGGTACTTTCTATAGTCTGTTATAGGAAGGGACAGATAGATGCAGCTAGGGCATTATGTCCCAAGAGATTTATATTGAAATAAAAATATCTAACTCTGTATTTCTTTGTGCTTTTATGATTAAATTTGTTTTGGATAATCCTGTGACCGCTGAAGACAGAACTAGAAGCCTACCAACTTCAGTGATATGTAATACTGTTCCTGAAGATTGTAAATGGTCAAAGTAGTGAATATTTGTGGGAATTTCACTCAGCAAACTCGTTATCTCAGCCTCTTAGCTCAAGTTTCCACTCTGCCTTACTTCAGCCTGTTCATGTAATGGTAAAATGCAGGTTCATTCTATAGAACAGGTCTATCTATTGGCCAATTTTTAAAACTTAGATTAGGTTGGCTTCAAATGCTTAGTATTTGGTGTGTCTTTCCCATTTACATTATCACTGAATGAATGAGGAATATTAGATGCTGTTGAATGAATGTAATGTATCCTATTGTGGTAATCTTTTTTACCTTGAATGACTGGGCTGAATTTTGTTTCATTTATTCTATTCCAAAAATATAACTTTTATTCTTGGATTTTACAAATATCCAACATTCCCCAACAGGCTTTTGCTTAGCTTCAGAATATACAGGCCTGACAAGCTTTTACTATGGTCGTCTGTATTTAAAAGCCTGAATAAATGGTTTGAGGATATGCTAATCTAACTTTTAAATAAGGTATTTGTAAATGCCTCCAAATAATAAAATAAAGTTAGCTGGAAAAACTGATGAATTTTAGGTTATATTAACTGGTATGATGCACAAATATATTAATATATAAGGAGCAGCAGGCAAATACTAATAATTGTTCTCTGATTCTGATGCATTCAAATGTTCTGGGGAGTACATAGAGAGTACATAGCTTTGCCAGCCAATTAGTTGTGCACTGGTAAATATGTGCAATGCAAAAGAAGACAAGCAATCCTTTCTTGGCTAGGAAATGTTACTTCAACAAGACACATCCTAGGATCTTAATGTCAAAAGAAAACCTCTCAAAGGTGTTCATGCTTTACTTGAATTTTTAATCCTAATATTTGTTTTGGCAAAAGTGGAAGTACTCTAAAATAGTGCAATTTTAAACCCAGCTGAAGCTATTGGGATTATGTCTGAATAAACAGAGCTAGGACTGGCACTTCATGAAACGGAAACATAATGCTGCTGCTTGTTTTGAAATGGTACAATTATGAAAAGATGTTCCTTCCAATGTTGATTCAAACTAAAGAAGGTGGTATGTGTGCATTCCTTTGGGTTTAAGATTTTAAGGGTGTGCCTTTTTGATTAACCCCAAACAGTAAGTGATACTCCAGCTTTGCAAACATTTCTTCAGTTTTATAATATATTATGAACTGACACAACTTCACCTAATTTCCTCTGATGGACAGTTGAAGACAAGTAAAATGGGATACAACAAGGAGATTTGCAACAGTCCCACATAATCCAATTGATAAACCAAATGGTGGTCCTGAACAAACATAATTCTATAAGGCTGTAATAATGAATGCATTCACTGGAAATTTCATGACAATTCTGTATCATATTCAGACTTTTAAATATATCGTGTAATACTTTAAAAGAAGCATAAAAACCTCAGTAAATTCTGAAAAATATTTTCAACCCAGAAGTCTGTTTTAAATATCTTATTTATTTGGAAGTCTTATTTTAATATTGCTTACATTGCTGAAATATACCACCTTTTATGTGGAGAGGAGAACTTGTATTTAAAGAGACAATTCTTCATAAGCATTGGATTTGAGAATACTGTTTATTTTGGCCTTTCATTTTTTTTTCAGAGTGCTTTATGGAAATAAGATCACAGAGATTCCCAAGGGCCTTTTTGATGGGCTTATATCTTTACAGTTATTGTGAGTATTATCCTAGTTTCTTTTATTTCAACACAGAGTATATAAATGCTAAATAATGACCTTGTACACTGAAACTCCACTAATGTGTTTATTGTTGATTGAGAAAACTGGTGTGTGAATCCCTCAAAATATGAAATATCATGATTTTTTGGCAATGTAGACTTAAGAAAAATGGATATTTGGTAACAGTTTCAGTTTCTTGCTGGATTATATCTAGTTTGAAATAATTTTACAGAACCCTATTAAATCATGAGATCTTTAGAATCCACAAAGTTATTAAAAGATACTGCTCTTGAACTGATTACCATTCTGATAAACAATACATTCAAAGTGTTTTGGAAGGTATATACTGTGTAGCTCCAACCATATAATACTCAACTTTAACTTTTTTCCAATGGAATTATAAGTAATCATTGTTTCAGATACCTGAGAATTTTCTAGTCATATTTGCAGTTTCTGTTTTATTCAAGATATGAGGAAGAATTCTCTAAAATTGTATATGGGAAGTCCTCAACTTACAACCACAGTTAAGCCCAAAATTTCTGTTGCTAATTGAGACATTTGTTAAGAGAATTTTGCCCCATTTTATGACCTTTTTTGCCACATTTTTAAGTGACCCACTGCAGTTATTAAGTTATTAACATGGCTGTTAAGTGAATCTGGCTTCCCCATTGGTTTTGCTTGTCCGAAGGTCACAAAAGGTTATCACAACTGTCATAAATGTGAACCAGTTGCCAAGCATCTGAATTTTAATCATGTGATTATGGAGATGCTGCAATGGCTGTAAGTATGAAAAACAAACATAAGTCACTTTTTCAGTGCCATCATGATTTCAAATGGTCACTAGATGAACTGTTATAAGTCAAGGACTGCCTATACTGTTTTTGCTGATAGCTGATGTAATTGGGTTCTTCTTTTCCTCTGAATAAGTATCATAAAACTATTCTTTGAAACCATTGCAAAATTCTCTGTATGGTAAGCACACAGAAATGTAGAATTCAAGTTACAGAGATTTTTACTTTTTGAATTAGGATGTGGACAAATACCTTGTAACAATAGTTGACAGTTCCAATGTTGAGGGGTCCTTGGTGCTCTCTGAGCTTGCTTGTTTTCTTGCAGATGTTTCATTACCCAACTAAGTAACATCATCAGTGCTAATAAGGAGTGCAGTTTACTGTCAGTTTATATTCTGGTGGCTTGCCTATCTGTGTTGGTGAGGGTGGTCTTAGAGATTCTTTGGTTGGGCTGTTTGCTGCTAGCTTCTTTGGCAGTTTCTTGATTGGGATATAGTTTACTTGATTGCTCACCTGGAGTTAATCTGGGTACTGATTACTGGTGGAGCGATGTTGGGTCTTTTTGTTTCTTTTTGGGCTGGGTATTAGTCTCTTTTGAATAGGCTATAGATGTTGTTAATGTCTGTGTCTATTCCCAAGAAGTGTGGGAAACCCTGAAAAATGCAATCATAAAAGCCCATACCAGCACAATACCATTGAGAAAGAAAAACAAGAAATTCAAGAAGAAACCAGCATGGCTGCACAAATCTCTCTGACAAACTGAAAGACAAAAAGGACAAATACAAAAAATGGAAAGAGGGGCACATAACTAAGGCCAATTATCAGCAGACAGCCAGAACATGCAAAGATGAACTCAGGAAAGCAAAGGCTCAGGACAAACAAAGATTAGCAACAGAAATCAAGGATAATAAAAAAAAAGTTTCTTCCAACATGTTAACAACAAGAAAAAAGTTAAAGAATCTGTAGGCCCACTAAAGAGAGAAGATGGCAAGGAAGTAACAGTCAACAGGGAGAAAGCAGTGCTGCTTAACTCATATTTTGAATCAGTCTTTGAATCGGTTTTTAAAATTAAGCTTTAAGAACAAGCTAAAATAAAGAAATAATAGACAAAGGAACATTAATAATAACAGAGTCACCTCACTAGTTAGTATGGAATAACCAGGTCTTGAGTGACTTTCAAGATTAGAAGTGATGAGGCCAACCTCACCTCAGAAGGAAGAAGATTGTAAAGTGTAGTGCCACAGCAGAAAAGGCCCCCACCTAGGTCCTACCTTGCCTTCTAACAAAAGAAAAAGAAAATGAAAGGAAAAAAAGGAAAAGGAAAAGAAAAAAACCCATCTAACTATAATAAATATAGGTTAAACCCCCAATATATTTTCTCTATGAAAAACAAAATAATTTTATTTCAGAGTTCTCCTCTCTATATATTTTTTTTCTGCCTTTTAGCTGCTATTATTAAAACCCTGAGCTCTACACAATAATTACGGCTAATATAGTGCTTAATGATAGTAAATTTGATTAGTCATGGTGATATGTACTCTGTGACAGCCACTGTCAAACCTGGTTCAGATATTTATCTCTAAATTGGAATTTATTTATTTAAAATCTTTACATACTATTTCCCATTAAAAATCTCAAAGTAACTGTGACAAAAATGAGGAAGAATTAATATTCTTCATCAGTGTGATAATTCTAAAATTACTTTTGGTGTTTTCAACTATACATTGCTTGTAATTTTTATACTTTATTGTAACTTGGCTTTTCACAAGCTGCCAAGTGAGAAAATCAGTGTTGACAATAATGCAAACGTATGTAAAGATAAACTGAATATATTTTTCTAAGCCCAGTATAACTTTTAACTGCATATAAGCATTTTGACTTAACTGAAGATTATCCACATATATCTTTGCTGCTTTGTTTCTAGAAATACTTTGTAGTGTCCTCCATTGAACACAACCAACAAGATATATACAAAAATATATATGTTTTTGTTTCTATCACAGAAATTTGTCCCAAATGATGTACTTAGATATCTAACTTAGCTTATGAGGACTAATGGAGAAACATTTATTCTTTAGCATGATTGATTTTTCAGCCTGACAGTAGGCTTTCTATGTAAATACATTGGCAAATGTTGGAAAATAATAAGCTTAAGTACTATTACAATGAAAACAATATAAGACTATAAATATATTTCTTTTAAGTATTCATTTACATAAAGTCACCATTTTAAAAAAAATCATGGCTAATCTCGCTAGCTTGCTTGTTTATTTTATTACATTTTTTAAATATTTCCTTCAAAAACACAACATATATACTTACTTAGTAATCCTCATAATATCCAGTGAGGTAGGCTAGGTTGAGTGTATGTCCAAGCAGTAATTAATCTAGTACCAACATGTACTAGATTAATAGCAGTCTTGCTATTTTAAAAATAGCAGTCTTGCTATTTTAAAACTGTCATGTTAGATCAGAAGTGTTGGTGCGGGCAAATGCTATAGCAATACCATAAAAAGATTATCACAGAAGCCTCTCCAAAAAGTGAATAGAGATTATTATTTATTTAATGCATATCCTGCCTTTGCTTTTTACATTCAAGGTGGTTACAGTGGATTTTACTCATTGGATGTTATATTTTATATTCTATATTAAATTCTCATCCTATAAATGCATTGTAACTTCAATTTTATTTGCTCTTTGTTGTAATTGTAGATCTTAATATATTTAATAATGTTTACAGTATAGTTCAACATAACTGTGATCCTGGATCTTATTTATTACATGCTAGTTACGGTCTTCTTCATTATTTGTACTGGTTTTTGACTGTAATGAACTAAACTGTAACTATAGCAATATAGTTTCTTTATCCTTCAGATCACATTTTTATCACTCACATTAGGGAACTAATTATCAATTAATGATATTTTCAATTATCACATTTTTCTGAAATGCAAAGATGAAATAAGTCATATTAATCAATCAGTCAGGAATATAATTATGTACAGAAAGGCTGCTGATTATCTCATCTATTTCTTTGGCATGTCTTGAAAAGGGTTTAACTGAAAAATACATTCTTGAGAAAGTTGTAGCAGGATTCTTTTTTCTAATAACAAATGTTTTGACGCAGTGGTTAGAATGCAGCATTGCAGGCTAATTCTGCTGACCACAAAGGGTTCGATCCTCACCGGCTCAAAGTAGACTCAGGCTTCCATCCTTCTGAGGTTGGTAAAATGAGGACCCAGATTGTTGGGGGCAATAGGCTGACTCTCTGTTTAGAGAGTTGGTAAAGAACTATGAAGTGGTACATATGTCTAAGTGCTATTGCTATAAAATTGGTTCTAAAATGTTTTTGAAATTTCATAACCAAATATAAATTTCCACCAGTGTAATGGTGGAAATCATTGGACAGGAATGTTGAATGAGTTCCCGTCTTCCCTTAGGCATGGAAGTTGGCTGGCCAATATTGCACCAATTACTCACTCTCAGTCCAACTCACCTGTTGTTGTAAGGAAAATAGGAAGAGGGAGCATTATATATACCACCTTGAATGTACAAAACAAAGGCACGCTATCCATCAAATAGATAATACTCCATTCACTTTTTGGAGAAGCTTCTGTGAGAACCTTGTTTATTTGAATAAACAGCGAAGCTGATTGCGAAGCTGGTTGTTTATGTCTTTGCCATTTAGGTTCATGCCCAGTTTGGGGACATGACCATCCTTCGGTACTTTGAACTTTAGCTATATAAAAAATAAATTACCTAGCTCAATCTATTTTTTTTAAATTGCTGATATGGATGTCCTTAATAGAGAAACTGATCTGATAATAACAACTCTGGATGGTATGGCACTCTCTCTAAAATTGGGTGATTTCTGGACCAGGAATTGCCCACATTATGGATGCTCTGGCCAGTATTGCCCATCTCTAAAGGAGTTTGATCTGAACTTAGAGATCCATGTTTTAATTACTTCTCATTAAGCCTTCTGAGATGAACTGTGCAATCACTTTTTGATATGTACTTTGCTTACCACATTAGTTTAGCCATATATTAGTTGCACATATCACCAAATTATTTGTGGGCATTATTCATGATAACCCTTCTCTGTTATGCCCTTAATGAATTGGGAATGTGATATATAACATGATTAATGTATTTTTACAATTCTTTGTCTAGTTTAAAGTTTGTTTTCAAATCTATGTTCTGCAACTATGAATAGGGAGATGGATGGAAACATGAGACAATAGTTTTTCAATAGCAGACTCTAGATTGAGGTACCTCCTTTCTAAGTACATCAAAGTGGCTCCTATTTTACTTGTGACTGAATATTATAAATAACATTATTCTTATGAGGGTTTGTTATTATATTCATAATATTGTTACATATGTTTAACTTGTAAGTCATTTTGGAAAAAAATGTTCGGCTGCAAACCAAGGAATTAATAATCTGATCAATAAATAGCAGTACTGAAGATTCCATATTATGTATAGCATTTTGTTCGAGACTAATCTCTTAAATCTTGTTTTCAAGATTGTATGTATTAAAAAAACCCTCTTCCTTGTTTACAGGCTTCTCAATGCAAATAAGATCAACTGCCTGAGAGTAAACACATTTCAAGATCTGCATAATCTTAATTTGTTATCTCTCTATGATAATAAACTGCAGACTATCAGCAAAGGACTTTTTGCTCCTCTTCAGACAATTCAAACATTGTGAGTATTGAGTTATATTATATCTGTATGCTTTCCTCTTCCTCAGGAGTACATCCTATAGATTAGAGGTCCCCAACCTTTGGGGCATCAGGGACCGGTTCTGTGGAGAGAGGTGTTTCCATGGACCAGAAGGTGCATGGTTTTGTGTGCTGCCTGCATCTCATGGATGGGGCTTTGCTTGTTTGTCTGGCCCAGTTGCTGGTATGCCGCAGCCTGGTACTGGTTGATAGATAGACCGGAGGTTGGGGACCCCTCTATAGATAGTTCCACAAATGAAAGTCTTAGCTGAATCTTTAATCCTGCCCAAACTGCTAACTTTGAGCTTTAGTAGATTGATGTGGTAGAGGAAGAAATCAAACAATTAAATAATTCAATCCCACAAAAAAAAGAGAGAGAAAGAAATCAAGTTATAGGAGTCTAAACAATAGAAAATTAGACAAATGACATAACAGAAAGAGATTGAAATACTGAAATAAAGAGAATAATGGCAAAATTATTTCAAAATCTGCATTTTGTTCTATATTCTTTATATAATTCAAAAACAAAATAAGATCATGTTTCATGCTACTTTCATCCTTAGTTTAAGATAATTAGAGAACTTAAAAGCAGATTTATAGATTTATGTTTTGGCAATAGCCAAAAAGCACACTCCAATAAAAAGTTTTCACTGGTATTCTTTCCAGCCCAATAGAATGTTGAAAATATACCCTAGGGAAGGCAGATGGGAAGCAATTGAAAATGCTGCCGGCTGCTCCATATTTGAACACTTCTCTCCCCCCCCCCCCAAACTTGGTCACATAACCCAGAGCAGCCCTTACATTGCCTGCTGTGGACTTCTTAGTGCACACATACTAGAAATCACATAGATTCCTCACTTTGGTTGTTACACAAAAGAAAATGTAAATGCCTACTATGGCTGTTGGTGGTAAAGGAATGGGAAGAATTTAAGAAACCTTGCTTTTCCTAGCTTTTTTTTAAAAGTACACCATCATACGAGAGTGAATTTTTGCTTCTCTTTTCAGTGTTGCTAATGATCACAAATCTGCTTCATGTTATTGGGTTGTTGTTGCTGCTGGCTTTTCTAAGCTGTATTGTTTTGCTTTAGAATACTGATAAATTTGTATTCTAAAGCAAGCTTTCTATATTGTATCAATGGTGGTGCTGTTGCCTACTGTTGTAGAGCCTGGTTTTGTTTCAGGATGTTGCATAAGGTACCTAATAACATCTTCTCATCTTAGGCAAAATCCAACATTGTCAAGTTCACTTACACAAAGACATCTTTTCCTTTCTGTTTTTCCTGCATGTCTTCCCAAATCTCTTCAATTGTCTAATTTTTTCTAGAGATACTGTTGTACTGTGGGATCCTTGGTGCTTTCTGAACTTGGTTGTTAGAGTTAGATGATCTTTTAGAGACAATCAAAAGGAAACAAAGAGCCTAAAACACCTCCTCATGAGCAATTAACATCCAGATGAGCAGAGATTAACTCCATGATTAATCCTAGATGAATTATCAAGAAGCAAACAATAGCCCAACCAAGGAACTACAGTACTAGTTCAGACAAGCAAGCTAACAGTAAACAACAGCCTAATCAAGGAACCACCAAGAACACTTACACCAATACTGACAGGGAAGCCACCAGTATAGAGAGCAACTTCACTCCCTTTTACCTAATTTGGTAATGAAACATCTTCAAGAAAGCAACCAAGTTCAAAGAGCACCAAGGACCCCACACTTCAACCCTGAACTAAAATACTCTCTTCTATCAATAATAATAACATATGGCAAAAGAGAATTCAGTGGTAAGGAGACTCACCATCCACATTATATTGACAGAAATAGATTCTGCAGCAGATTGACTTAATTAGATTTAATTAGATTATACTACTCTATGTGTGATACATTCCAGTTTCACAGAGAATGATAGTATGAATTACGACTGAAGTATGCAATAAACTCAAATAAGCAGTAGGTACATTCAGATAAGTTATATTTTGTCAAACCATTGCTCCTCGATTCTTTGTTCCTGCTAACCACACCATCTCAAGAGTGGATTTCCCACTCCCTTGCCTTGCTCTGAGATTATATCCTTTTTAGAATTATTTCTTTGATGTCTTTCTGCAAGTAAAATATTCAGAATCATTCTCTAATAAAAATATGTTTCTCAGAGATAATCTAATTTCATTTTGATTATTCTCCTCAAGTAATACTACCACATTATCATACTTTTGATTATGTAGCTGTTAAAATATTATTTTTTTCATTTTGATACATATTTGTTTTCATTATGTTTTATACTAAAGAAAATATCAAGATGCAAGGATTAAGAGAAGATCAACATTGTTTAAGTTTTACATGATATACATACCACCTCTTGACAGTTTCTTGGATTCACTGAAAGATTTTGAAATTTTTTAAACAATAAAAAAAAAAACCCTAGGCTGCTTGGCTTCATCAGAATGTTTTGGTAAAATATTACTAGAAGAATCTAGCCTAGGTTAAGTCTTTAGGATTATTTGCTACTTTCCATTCTTCTTCTCATTGACTTAAATTGTTGAAATGTTATGTGATTGTGCCTTCCATTAATTGGTATCCAAAGCCATCTAGGCTTACAACACCTTCCCACAAAATAGTTGTATCAGTGGTTGTCATTTGAAACTTCCTCAAAATGATACCTGCTCAAAGTGATGAGCCATTTTATGTGTACTATCTTACCATAATAGCTCATGACTTGTAGCGTAGCATCTTTCCACTCTATAATTAAATATCCCATCATGGAGATAACTATACAGTTCAAGTTAAGGAACCTGAATAATTTCTAAATGTTTATAGTTAGTTGTTTAATCAATACTTATCATCAAACAGAAAGGTTTTTTTCCTGAACCAATTATGTTTATATGTTTATATCCCATTTTTATTATACTGTTTTAGTATGAAAAAAGAAAACGAAAAACAAAAGAGAAACAATATACAGAATTTATTTATTTATTTTTTTATGAGACTTATATACCGCTTTAAGTGCGAGCACTCTCTAAGCGGTATTCACCAGTAAGCAATGTATATATATATTTACATTGCCCCCAACAATCTGGGTCCTCATTTTACCTACCTTGGAAGGATGGAAGGCTGAGTCAACCGTGAGCCGGTGAGATTTGAACCGCTGACCTGCTGAACACAGTCAGCTAAAGTGGCCTGCAGTACTGCACTCTAACTGCTGCGCCACCTCGGCTCTTTTAAGAATTAAATCTTGATTGGATAAAGTAACATTTATCTTTCTACTACATTAATAAATAATAAATTCATAAGTAGAGAGTCAACATGTCATCAAGCCAAGATTTGTAAATCTGGGTCAGCAATATCTTTCTACTCAAGGTGAATAAATTTGTTTTGTTATATCTCACACACAGCAAATCTGCAGTTCACTGTAGAGTAATATATTCCTCATATTTGGTCTATAATTCAAAATCATTTTCACAACTAACCACACTTTCCACATTTGTGGATATTAAAGTAAACTAAAGTAGAATAATACTGGTCAAACTCATATCTGTGGCATAGCACAGATACAACCTTGGGGAAATTATGTGGTGATCATTAGTGAAATATAAATTTAGCCTGGAAATACTAGAAAGCAAGAGAAAGAATTAAAGATTGTCCCACTTTAACTCTCTTTAATATAAAACAAAGAGAAGGGGAAATGCTGGCAGAATTTCAAAATTCTATTATTACAGATAAGTAGATTTCTACTATTTCTTGTCATGTCTGTTTCCTGACCAAACCTACATTGAAGAACTGATAATACCATATATCAGGGGTCCACAAATCCTGGTCCGTGGACCCGTACTGGGCTACGGCATGCCAGCAGCCGGGCTGGAAAAACAAACAAAGCCCCATCCGTGCGCAGGCAGCGTACAAAATCACACCCCCTCTGCTCCATGAAAAAACCTCTCTCCACAGAACTGGTAACTGGTGCCCAAAAGGTTGGGGACTTCTGCCATATATATAAACGCTGCCTCCATTAATTTAAAATTTTGCTATAATAAAGATGTTAAGCTTTTTTAAAAATCTTCAATTAAATACAATTTTATAAATTGCATTTTTTTAAAAAAAAACACAACCTTAATTATAATGTGTCAACATTAGCTCTTCTAACATTTCCAAAGTTCCTGCAAATAACAACTGTCTTAAAAGTAGTTTGTTTCTATATAAAAATTACTATAGATTTAGAATTGCTACAAAGACATTTCTGTTTTGATAAATAATCCAGAAATTTTGTCTGGACCAAACAATGAAATAATAGTAATAAAAGTAACAGAATCTACTGATTTGTTGAAGATTTAGACCATCCAAATATGAAATACATTAGAATTTAATTTCTCTGTTGATAGAAACCTTTGATTCTTCTACATATTTCATAGTGCTCTGAGGTATACTAGTTTACAATACAACCTCTAGAAAGTGTTAATTTTGTGACAAAAAAATAGTTTAAATCTGTTCCTTCTAAAAAGATTAATTGACTGTAATATATGATGACCAGTTTTTGTAGACAATAGGTCTACCCTTTAAAAAGAGACTTTGTTATATTAATTTGTGTTTCCTTCTAGAGAAGGCTCACTGCTGACTTAACAAGCTAAAAAAAAATAGATGGCTCACAGAATATCCCCCCCCCCATACAAGTCTTAACTCCATCCAGCTTCTGCCAGACCCAGTGTATTGGAAGCTGATTCAATTACTCTGCTCTTCAGTTGTGTATTTGTAAAAACAATGATGGAGTACAGTGTCACAGGTCATTTCTGGTTAAACATCCCATCCCTCTTGCAGGCATTTAGCTCAAAATCCATTTGTGTGCGACTGCCATTTGAAGTGGCTGGCTGATTACCTGCAGGATAATCCAATAGAAACCAGCGGAGCTCGATGCAGTAGTCCGCGTCGTCTTGCCAACAAACGAATCAGCCAGATCAAGAGCAAGAAGTTCCGTTGCTCAGGTAATTCATTTATCCAGGCTGTGCTGCACTTTGAGTTCAGAAATAAGCAGGTCCAGGGAGCCTACTAATCCAATCTGTGGGACAGTGTTTGGTATAATGGATATTATGTAGCATCTTTCTAAAATTAAATTTGAGAAATTGGATTAGTCCTTCAGAAAATCTAGTTACTTTGTGCATTAAACGAGAGAGAGACCTCTACCTTTCATTTTGGTTTATTTGGCTATTTGGTTAAAAACTAGGTTTTTGTCTTTTAAAAGAATGCAGCCTTGGACACTGCCTTCAAAGAAAGGTGATACACAAGATCCTGGGTATTCATTTTTTTTAAAAAAAATAGTAAAATAATTCAGATATGTTTTGGCCAAATTCATAGAAGTTTCTTACTTCATTTTTTTAAATCTTGCTGACCAAATAAAAGCTCAGTCAGGGATGCTTTTCTGTGAATCACTCAAAGAATAAGACTTAGAACAGGGATCTTTGGAGAGCTGAGGAGTTATTGTAACACTGTGCATTTTAAAAATATAAGATGAGATGGGAACCCATAACATCCACACTATAATAAAAGTAAAACACAATAGTAAATTAAAATATGGGAAAAAATACATTAAAATTTTACCCTGGAAAAAAAGAAGAAAAACAAAAGACTAAAGCTAGAGTGACAGTCCACTTCAGTTTTCATAACACATCTGGTCTTGCAAATCTGGGTTCACAAACTGTTAAATGACGACAATGACAGTAAAAAACAAATATTTCCATCAGTTGTCTGATAATTCCATTCCATGCCATGATAAACTACAGTAAAAATAGTCTGATCTTAACTTTTAATCTATTAATTTTAATGTTGCCAAAGTACCTGAATCAGATGATGCAATATTTATACACACACAGAGAGGGGGGAAAGGAGGGAGGGAGGGAGGGAGAGAGAGAGAGATTAAAATATTGTGAGTTTGATCCATTGGAGTCCTTCTACTAGAAAATGACAATGAATAAGATTGTTAACTTTCCTACTGTCCCTCCCTCTCATCACCAATCTGCTCTCAAGGTTAGAGGGGTATTTTAATGTAGATCTGGGAGGATGTGAAGATTATACGGGGGGGGGGGAAGCAAAGACTTATTGTGTGACAAAAAGTGTATCACTGTAATATTTATATTGTGTGATGATTTTATATGGACTCAAAATATTAATTGTATCCAGGTTCCTATAGCTGAAATATTTCTTTATTCAACTTTATGTTCTTATAAATTTTGGCTTGTTCATATTCTAAGGTCCTGTCAGATATATGATTTATAATTTTAGTGGTGACATAATTTATTAGTTCAAGAAACTTAAAATATAGACTGAATTTTAGATGTTGAAAATTCATTAATGGGACTAAGTAGAAAAAATACTATCGTTGATGTATAATCTTAACATACTTAAATACTAAAATAATACAGTTGTCTTTTTCATCTTAAAAAAGGGGACCATCATGCACTGCATTTAAATTTCCTGACAAAATTGTCACCACACAAAAGCACATTTCTTGTGTGCTGCTTCTCCTCAATAATTCATAAATTGTCCTTTATCAATATATTATAAGTCAGGAAATTAGAGCTGTGGTTGCAATGTTCATGTGGGATTGTTTCTAGTGGTGATTTGTTGGTGAAAAGATCTTTGATCCAAGGAATTATGTTCTGACTTCTGCCATTTCATAGGATTTTTCTCAGCATTATGAGAATGAACTTTATAATATGCAGAAATGAACTTTATAATAGGCAGGAATAAAAAATAAAGAATAATTATTTTTTCTGCTATCTTTGTTTATGTGTTCATTATATCAGTTCAAGGTTTTTTACTTCTGTAGTAATTAGAAATGAAACAGAAAACTGTAAGGAATGAAAGGCGGTATTTAAGTGCAGTCTATACATAAACATTTTATCATCTATATTATATTGTGCTTTTAGTATCATTAGTGCTACTATTTTAATTATATTCTGAGTTCCTACCTATTTACCAAGGATCTAAATACCGAAGAACTAAATAAGGCTAGGGGTGAATGCCTGGGTGATTATTTATTTATTTTGGCTTGGGTTTCCAAGAATTGATTAAAATTTATAATTCTTATCACAGTAGGAAAATATCTCCCTCTGTTGGTGAAAAGCATTGTTTGGTTGCTAAACTTTGCTTTGAAATAAATCTTACTTTATAGAAAGTAACAGGAATATATTCAGGTTTTTCTATAAATTTGAATCTAAAATCAGTATTCTTGAGAAAAATCTTAATCAGCTGATTTATTGTAAATTCAATTGCTTATACTACTCTCAGTTCCAGAGATGAACATAAATTAAAATTTCAGTATCAAGCGCAATTGGAGCTAAGAGATGACTTTTAATGATACTGACTTCATTCCATTTTTTTAGATAACCATAATAATAATAATAATAATAATAATAATAATAATAATAATAATAATAATAATAATTTTTTAAAAAAGGAAAAATAGTGAAAACTGAAGGAATCAAGATGCCCCACGAAAATAACATTAAGAGTCTGGATGAGGAAGAGTACTACAAATACTTGGGTATCCTTCAAGCTGACAACATCAAGCACACTGAAGTCAAGAAAAAGATTAGAGGTGAATACATCAAGAGAGTGAAGAAGATCTTAAAATCCAAACTCAATGGAGGAAATACCATAAAGGCAATCAACACCTGGGCAATCCCAGTCATTAGGTACACAGCTGGAATAGAGGACTGGACTCAAGCAGAACTAAAAGCAATGGATAGGCAGACCAGAAAAATAATGACAATAAATCATGCCCTTCATCCACGCAGTGACATTGATAGACTTTATCTACCAAGGCAAATAGGTGGGCGTGGAATGCTACAAGTACATCAGATGGTTGAAGAAGAAAAAATGGCTTTGGAAGAATATCTGAAGAACAATGATGAAGATGCCCTGAAATTAGTATATCACTACATAGCCAATACGTGAAAAAAAATAGCTGGGAAAGCAGATAATAATAAAACCTGGCAATGGCTAAGAGCAGGAAAATTGAAGAAAGAGACTGAGGGACTAATTCTGGCTGCACAAGACCAAGCCTTAAGCACAAATGCATACAAAGTCAAAATTGAGAAGACAGCAACAGACAGTAAGTGCCGCCTATGCAAAGAAGCTGAAGAAACAGTGGACCACCTGGTAAGCTGTTGCAAGAAGATTGCACAGACTGATACAAGCAGCGGCATGACAAAGTAGCAACAATGGTGCATTGGAAGATCTGCAAAAAATATCATTTGCCTGTAAGCAAAAACTGGTGGGGATCATAAAATAGAGAAAGTCATAGAAAATGATAAAATTAAACTGCTCTGGGACTTCAGAATTCAAACAGACAAGCACCTGCAACATAACACCCCAGACTTAACAATTGTCGATAAGAAAGACAAAAAGTCTGGATAGTGGACGTGGCAGTGCCTGGAGACAGCAGAATAGAAGAGAAAGAACTGGAGAAGATAACAAAATACAAAGACCTACAAATAGAAATAGAAAGACTGTGGCAAAAGCAAGCAAGGGTAGTACCAATAGTCATAGGCTCCTTGGGTGCAATCCCAAAACAACTGGAGCACCACTTGAACACCATTGGCATTGACAAATTCGCTATTAGTCAATTGCAAAAGGCGGCCTTACTAGGAACTGCTTCCATCCTGCGACGATACCTGTAATACCATCAAACATCCACATCTGCCTATCCCAGGTCCTGGGTAAGGACTCGATAGGTAGACAAAATACCAAATCCAGTCTGAACATCTGGCTGACTGTGCGATGATTGAGAATAATAATAAAAAAGTTGGAAGGGACCTTGGAGGTCATCAAGTCCAATCCCTTGCTCAGGCAGGAAACCCTACACCATTTCGGACAAATGGCTGTCCAGTCTCTTCTTAAAAACTTCCAGTGTTGGAGCATTCACCACTTCTGGAGGCAGGTTGTTCCATTGGTTAATTGTAGCTGAGAACAAAATTTTAAAGTCATACTTGGAAGCTATACGTTATTTAAACAAAAAATCTTCTGAATTTAATTTTTAAAATAACTAACTTGGATTTATATTCTTGCTCTTCGTGATTGAGAATGAGTAAAAGAGTGAATTGGGTAAGGGCAAACGAGAATTCCATTTTCTGATATGTTGCTCTTTTGTTAGATGAGCACATTTAACTTTGCATAACTTAAGATGAAAAGTGTTGTTTTTTCTTTAACAGACATAATTGGTTGCAAAAAAAAGTAGATGCTGACAGCACACTGTCTTACCTATTATTAATTGGAATGCCAAGATTTATTTTTGAGGTTAAATTGTCTATATTGCTCTTTCAGAATTCATGCATAACTTCCAAAAGTGTTAGATGTACACAAACACACAATACATTAAACTTCATATTGAATTCATATTATCAAAGGCTTGTTTTGTGCAGATTTGGGGAGACAAGTTAGCCAGGTGAGAGAATCTTAAGATTACACATTTTAATGATTTATTCATTTCAAAATAAAACTGGTATGAACTAAAATGATCATATTGCCTGATGCTATGTTGGAAACTGACCTCATTTGCCTTTATCTCCAAATTATTAAGTTTAATAGGATGGATTTCAATCTCTATGCTTGAGCAATTATAGGAGCTACAATGTTCCTGTAGAATTTCAATTGAATGTCTGTACTTTCAAGTTGAACAATTCTACAGTTTTCAGTAGGAGTCATAAAAAGATATGGATGTCTTCTCCATCAGCTGTATAGTAGTGGCCAAAATTGTGGAAACCTTTTGGTAAGTGTATTTTTGAGGTTTGATGACTAATAACACCACTTTTTTGGAGTAGTACCATAAAATTATATATCAATGGAAAGATAATTTAATCAAGAATGTAATGCAACCAAGTTTGTTCAATTATCTGTACTGTATTCTATGAAAAGTCATAGCCAAATAACCAGAAAAAGGAAGCACAACTTGCTTGTGATATCAGGTTGATATCAGGTAGCTTTC